CACACGCACACGCACACATACATATATGTATATATCACTCGTATCCCCCATCCCTCTGGCCCATGGTAGGGATCACCCCTACCTTGGACCTCGACCCTCGCCTCAACTAATTTTGCATGGTCATTTCTTCTCCCCCTTTCTTCATTTTCCTTTTCTTCATCCACTTCTTCCCACATCCAAAAGTGCGAGAGCCGGCTGGGTTTGTGTCAGTTCTGGACGTCCTTTTGCAATCCGTTTGCTCTTCCCTTTATACAGCGCTCTACAACCTTTGGTATCTAACATATTTTTCTCATAATATTTTGTCATTTATTTGTTTTGACCACTAACCTTTCTGGGAATCCATTAACATTACTTTATCTGGGGGGGAAGCCTCATCCTATCACTATTACCTCCGTCAACGAGGTTATATTCTAAATACGCCGCTGACGACTGCAGATGACGCGACAGAAATTTTTAAATAAATGAATAAAATATCACCCGTGTACTTGAAGAGACGCATGAAAGCTCCTAATAAGTATCACAGGAAAGAGAGAGCGGTGGTGTGGACACGGGCGAAGTAATCTTCCCTCTGTCTTCCTCAGAAGTGAGTATGTATTCCAAAAAGCCGACGGAAAACTATGGAAGGATTAGTTTTCACAAGAAGTCTCGGAGATTACATATTTATAATCGGTTTCCAAAGTAGAGCACATTTCACGAATCCATAAGAGAAATAGTGAATCTGGAGCAGTTTATAAAAAATGACCAACTCTGTCAAAAGATAACCAGGGGCCGGATTCTCAAACGCGTTAAGGCGCCGTATCTCCCTAAGGCGCCTTAACTTACGGCCGAGCGATCTTACACGTACATACACAGAACAAGGGACCCACTATATTGGTTCAAGTTAAGGCGCCTTTGGTTACCGCAGGGGGAGAGCAGCTTTAGCGCTTTCCAGCTGGCGGGAAATCAACACTCTTCGCTCTTTTATAAGGGAAATACAGCAGGACGGTTAAGGCCTCCAGCGGGTCTTAACTTAGGGCTCTTTTGAAATCCGGCCCCAGGCAGTGTCTTGAGGGCGGAGGCCTTTCGCTCTCCCGTTGGATGGTGATCAACATGCCATAAAAATCTAAGGAAAGAAATAATACGAGCTGAAATTTCTGATATAAGGGAATATAGACTATAGTACCGTTTAAAACACGTACAGTATTTGAGGAAATGGGGCAATTGCTTCCCCTAAGTTTCTGATTTCACCCTTCTAAGTCGGCTTGCCCTCCTCCCCCAAAGGGCCACACTTCCACTTTTTTGCCTAAATTACACCTTTTTAGCTCCGCCATAGCTCTAATTGCTCCTATAACAGTTCATTATTCAAAAAGATTCTTGTGGGGCTCGCAGCGCCCGAGAAACTGATTGTGCTCACTTCGCTCGCAAATCTTGCCCCCCAAGAAAAAGTCTAGAAAAGAAGAAAAAAAGTTCATGATAAATTCCTGATAACACAAATTTCAAACTGTTACCGTTCTTATTAAATTAGGACATCAGAGGTGTGATAAATAGTACCGGAACCAAAATCATCAAAATATCAATGTAATGGTTAATAACTTGAGAGTCTGGGATATCTTTTCAGTTCTGTAAAGCCACTATAGTCACAATAGCCCTTAGAATTCATAATCGAATTGTATCTTTATTATTCTGTTGTCCACTTATTTATTTAACATTCGTAAATCCAATTAAATAAATTACGAGTATATAGAACAGAGTACCCTTATAATAAAACAAAGAAAACGGAATTTACATTAAGTTCATAGAAAACAAAATATACAGGGGAGACCTTCCTTTTGTTTGGTTTCTCTAGCATCAACTTTATATAATTAGCTTGGAAGATGCAACAACACGCTAACAGAAATAAAAAAGCCTATAACCAGAGAACTTTATTCCTGGATGAATAATGGCTATAAACAACTGGTGAAGTGTTATCTAAAAACAGCAAGTACAGCCTAATAATAATTCATAAAAAGCGAAAAGAATTGGACATCATTTGTTACGTATCAACGCTGATATATGTATACATACATGCATACATACATACATACATACATATATATATATATATATATATATATATATATATATATATATATATACATATATATATGTGTGTGTGTGTGTGTGTGTGTGTGTGTGTGTGTGTGTGTGTGTGTGTGTGTGTGTGTGTGTGTGTGTGTGTGTGTGTGTGTGTGTGTGTGTGTGTGTGTGTGTGTGTGTGTGTGTGTGTGTGTGTGTGTGTGTGTGTGTGTGTGTGTGTGTGTGTGTGTGTGTGTGTGTGTGTGTGTGTGTGTGTGTGTGTGTGTGTGTGTGTGTGTGTGTGTGTGTTGTGTGTGTGTGTAAAATTGGTCAATATATGTAACTGGAGATTATCTTTTAACCTCCGTATAAGCCATAGCAGACCATCCCTATGATTCAGAACAGCTCAGTATAGTTAATGGTTACAGGGAGTTTTGTCATATTCCCACATCCAAATAATCATTTATAATTACCTTTTCCCGCACACGCTTACATATTTTTTATAGACAAACACGAAGAAATGTAAATGAAAAAAGTAAAAGTGAAAGATGTGTAAATACTTGACAAAAGCAAAAGATGTGTAAATACCTGACTTGAATGACTATAATTATTTGCTAAACATATGTAATCCTTGACAAAACTAGACAGTTCTTTCATAATCTGGAGGCTTAAAGTACAAGGTCACTATGCTGCAAGGAGTAGTAATGATGATAATAAACGAATTTGTAGTTCTATCGAATGATTATGTATAGAGACTTAAGATAGCGATCGCTTTGTCATTTTCAATATTCCCAATAACAGAAGAAAGAATCAATTTTCAGTATTCTGTTTCGGGGAGAAAAATCATGTGCTCATTTTATGCGAAATGTGTAGCGATTCAATATTTTTTCTCGAAAAATGGACGTAATTGAACAGTGTTCCAGCTCTACTCTAAGCTGATTTGTGAGATAATATATATGATTAACAAACAATGTTTGAACCAAAGAATATTTAGTCTGGTTTGAACACGACCGTCTTTTGTTCGTGTATCCTCTCGGCGTTTGGACATACGACACTTTTGTTCAACTTATTTTTCTATCGGAAATTTCCGCAGAACAATCTTCTAAGTAACACGAAGGGGTTTAAGTGTAGCTGGTACAATTATGTATTGATGCTTAATATTAATTTAAAGTAAATATACATCAATAAAAGGATTACCTCCATCAGGTATGATTTTAAAGGGAAAATACAAATTATATCACAATGACCTCTCTTCAGAGCATGAACAACAAAAAAGAAAGATATGATAAGAATAAGCATTAGGCACAAAAAAAAAGAAGGAAAGAAAGAAGGAAAACAAATTAACCATAGTCTTTCATCAATTTTAAAGTAGATCAAAAGTCCAAGAAAGTGTGCCGGATGAGCATGCAGACGACGTGTGGTTCCGAGACGGAGCAATTGCCCTTGTGTATATAAAGTTACTTATTTCTCTGTATATATATAACATGAGCTCTTGAGAATTATCTGTGACTCCAGATTTTAAGTAACTGAATACTTATAATGGTTAGTTTTCGGTGTCCATTATGTTTTAAGATCATAAGGTAGTCAATGGTGATGAAAATGTTTTTTTTTGGTCTTTTCACGTTATGTAATCAATTGTGTTCTTGTTTTGTGTTTTTCATTCATAAATAATCGCCCAACATGTGCAGTCGCGTAGCAAGACATGCATTTTGGACGCATTGTGTCCATAAGTTCCAGTGATAGAACATAGATAGTAACGTTATTTCTGTGAAGGCAGTTTCATATTTTTTCCTTATTTAGAATAAATTAAACAGATTTTCAGACTTGTTTAAGTTCTCGAATGATAGCCATCACATTCTAAGTTAATTGTACAAGGTATTAAGAGATTTTCAAGTTTTGAAGCCCCTCCTCTATGAATTTCTTGCTGGGAAGTGCAAACAAAAGTTGCTAAAGGTATTTCTGTGCAAAAGCTATGCAGCCTGCACTCCTGTATCAGATAATTTCCTCATCCAGAGTTCCATTACCGGTAATTTTCTATATTACCTCCGCTGCTCCGATATCAACGATTTTGGTATCGTTGGATTCCTCTCACTGTCCACATTACAAATATATAGTGTTTATTGCACGGAAACCCCCCGTTAGCCACAAACTTGGCCCCGATAGCAGGGGAGGGCTTGAAAGGTTCTAGGGAAAATGCAAGGTTAAATAACACTAATAATATAACCATGGTTATTCAGATGACTTTCCCCTGTGACCCCCCCTGGGGGGAAGGGAGGGGTGCGGTAGCCCCCCCCCCCCAACCCCCGCCGAGATAACAAAACCTCCACCACATATTCATGGCAGGCTAGAGCAAATATTGTCGATGTCGGAGCGGCGGACATAATATTACAATTATCTCGTAACATTCCCACTGAATCAGCATACTAACCTTGACATAGTCAGTATTGTATACAGAGACGATTGTAGTATAATCAGGGTGAACAAGGTATACCATAAACAGAAGAGCGGTGGTGGCCCGCTTTCAGTGGCTCAGTGGGTTTTGCACCTTTCTCGATGCATCTAGTTTGTGTGCGCTCTATCCTGCAGAGAATACGTATAGGATATTTTGTTTCCCCCCAGGGCTGTACCCCCTGCAATGAAAAATCATATGAATAACCATGGTAATTTTCACTGTGGGTTATATATGCCGCTAACGGGGGGTTTCCGCGCAATAAAACCTACATATTTGCATTGTATAGAGTGAGAGGAATCCAACGATACCAAAATCGTCGATATCGGAGCGGCGGAGGTAATATAGAAAATTACCCCATTATCCCTACCAGACTCTGAAATTGTTGGTTAATACTACCAAGTGCGATGCTCAGAAATTGAGGGAAATGGACACTGCCATCTCTTAGAGCATTAGAAATAAAGAGTCATAAACAACACGGTTACATTGACCTCATGTTTATTGTAGACACTGATAAGGTGTCGTAGCACACCTTAGGAGGCACTGTTTAGATGGGTGGTGTGTATATGTGTATATAGATTTTTTTTTTTTTCTTGTTTCACATAGCCACCCAACCTAGCAATTATTTTTTGTTCCAGTTATTCACAATGTAATATTTGCACATTTGTTATTTTTACATAGCAAATGAATGGTTCATTTTACCCATTATATATGTGAGGACGCAGAGGGATTGGATTGTACAGCATCTATACTTTGGTAACAATAGTTATCATATTTCAATTTCACATACTTAACCCACTTATGATGGGTGTCCCACATATTAGACACCCAGAAAAGTAAATATTAACGGATGTCCCGCCGGTGCGATGCTAGATTGGAGCTCATGCTTTGGTGTTTCTCACCTGTGGCGGCTGGCGTGTGGGCAGGTTCCTGGACTCAGCCGTCTGCCGATTTTGAAGCCGCCCAGAAAATATTATTTTCAACTTGAAAATGTACCATCACTAGTGGGTTAATATAGGTTAGATATTATGACATTATTTTTATCATCATTATTTCTTTGATTCATTTTACCTTTTGTTTATTATGCAGATACTTTTATTTTACAGGCTAAGCATATTGCGCAGTTGATTGTTGCTGGTGCACAGGTAGTTGGGAGAGCCTTCGTCAAGGCTTTGCGGCAGGAGATTGCAGGTAATGAACCCCTATGGGTAAATCATACTAATAACAGGATTGCATGAGTTCCATTGGCAATGGGTATCTTAGATTATACATGTAATTTGCTTAGCTTTCATGAGTTGTTTACCATCAAAACAATTTAATTTTGTTATGGGCTCTGTTTTGGAGCACAAAGACATAGAGGAAAGATCAAGCAGGTAATCTATGAGCACAGTGGATGCATATTTGTTGCTTGTTTTCCCCTGCAGTTGAAATATGTTGTAGTCACTGTTAGCTAGTTCCAATTATTCCTCATGTCGCTCTCTCCAGCAGTTGTTTATAAATCCATTGTTTGTTCTTTTTTTTTTTTTGTTCCTCCAGTTGATTTTCTTTCATTCTGGATTCAGATTTTTGTTTGTATTCCCTTCTTCTTGTTATTCCATACTTCCACCACATTTACCACACCAAAGTTCTGACTTTAAATCTTCCTGCAGCAAGTCAAGCAGCAGCGCAGAGAGCGGGAGGGGGAGCCGCAGGTGCCAAGCATTCGGCAACCAACCAGAAGCTGGGGATGAGCCTAGAGGAGGCCAAGCAGATTCTCAACGTTGAGGAGCTTGACCTTGAGAAGGTGCAGAAGAATTACGAGTATCTATTCAGCATTAACGACAAAAGCAAAGGCGGATCCTTCTATATTCAGAGCAAGGTGAGTGGGGAAAGTTCCTTTGGTTTTGCTTTTAGTTTTCTTAAGGAAAAGATGGTTCCTCGAAGAAAGAGGAATTGAATTTATACATGTAATAAATATTTCCCTCACTCATTGGTCATTAAATTCATTTCTATTGAGACCTGGCATTAGGTACAGTAACTAATTCTTAGATAGAAAGCACTTTCGTGTATACCATTATTCAGTTATTTTTCCTTTTAATTTCTTTTTCTCATCTTTTCTCATCTTATTTGACTTATGGTACATGGTAACCTCTGTTATATATAAATGTGAACAATTCCACTGTTGACGAAACATAAAATGCTAGTAAAACAAAAAGAGAGTCAGAAAGTATCAAATCTCAGCAGCAGCAGAGAAAAGACAGAGATTCAGCTGATACAAAGTTTTTCTCGTAGATGCCCAGAGGAGGAGCATGGAGGAGCCTAAGTGCAGCAAGGTTTTCACCTGGGATATGGGCAAGGTACCTTTATCTCAAAGCGCTTGCCCTGCCCTATCCGTCAGGCACTTTGCCACTGCCTCCCTCACATGGGACAATGTGCTGTCTGAGGCAAACCGTAAGCGCTGTGTCTCTTGCATGGAGAAGATGAAGAGGCCCAAAAAGTGGAAATGGGAAACCAGTAGACTAGCCTCTGTCCTGATTCCTCTTTGCCATGTAGAGGGAGAGCTGGCTGTGCTTTTTACAGTGAGGTCTGTTCAGCTAAGCAAGCACCGTGGGGAAGTGAGCTTTCCTGGTGGGATGGCAGACCCTGATGATAAAGACGTCATAGAGACTGCTCTGAGGGAAACAGAAGAAGAAATTGGCATATCAAGATCACATATTGATGTCTGGGGAGTGATCCCCGGCTTGCCCAGCAGGGCTCGTGATACTGCTGTCAGAAGTTCTGGCTTACATTGGGGAGGTCGACTCCAACTCATTCACATTATCAGAGGACGAAGTCGAGTCTGTGTTTGCGGTGACACTCAAAAATCTTTGTGATCCCGAAAATGCAAGGCAGTGCCAATTCCGCTCTAAGAGTATAAAAGGCGGTTATACCATGCCTGTGTTCCTTGGATCAGAACCTCGCGTTTGGGGTTTGACTGCCATTATTTTGCACATAGCTCTTCGTCGCTCCTTCCTGGGCTCTATAAGAACAAGCTTGTTCATCTGCCACAATTGACGGAATAAATAGTTGCATTTGCTCATTAGGACTCGAATAGAGTAATATATTTTTATAAGTTAGATTTCCTATAACTAAATGTTTTGTCATATATTATGGGTAGAGATAGAAATATTTTATCCTGAGGTGCTGATTATAGAATGATTGAAAGTTGAACTTGAAATCATGAGAATGGTGATAGATATATCTATGTTTCAATTTGTCTAGAATCTTGTTTCTACATATGAAACTGTAGATAGGTATCTATCTGTCAATCTGTCTGTCTGTCTGTCTGTTTAACAGTCTCTCTGTCTATCTGTCTGTCAGTCTCTCTATTTATTTATGTATCCATCTATCTATCTATATGTCTATCTTAATATATAGATGTATAGACTTATAGATTTATGAATATGGAGATATATAGGTGTATGATATACATACATCACACACACACACACACACACACACACACACACACACACACACACACACACACACACACACACACACACACACACACACACACACACACACACACACACACACACACACACACACACACACACACACACACACACACACACACACATATATATATATATGTATATATATATATATATATATATATATATATATATATTTATATATATATATATATATATATTATATATATATATATTATATATATATTTATTATTTATAATTATATATATATATATATATATATATATATATATATATAATATATATATATATATATATATATATATATATATATATATATATATATATATATATATATTTTATATAAATATATATATATATAAATATATATATATATATATATATATATATATATATATATATATATATATATATATATATATTATATATATATATATATATATATTATATATGTAAGAATATATATTAAATATAAAAAATATATATAAAATATAAAAATATATAAAAAATATATATAGCTATATAGATATATAGCTATATAGATATATAGTTATATAGATATATAGATATATAGATATATAATATATAGATATAAAAATATATGAATATATATACATATGTATACATATATATACATATATATAATATATATACATATATATTCATATATATTATATATATATGAATATATATATATGAATACTTTTTAAAATTTATAAATTTTTAAATATATGAATACTTTTTAAAATTTAGTTATTAACGTTACAAAACTGTTGGTATCCCTGATTTTCCGACTACTTTTGGGTATTTTTCATAAATGTCTATCTAATTATACAGGAACAGATACAGCAAACTATTATTATTATTTATTACCAGAATTCTGGTAATAAAGTACTTTTCATAAATGTTTATCTAAATTTTGAAAGGCTTATTCCATCCCTTACGGGGATAAAATCATCTCCAGTATGACTATTTTAAGATATGCATGAAAATGAGACAAATTTGAAACCTAAAGTACCAACTCTACCATAAGGTTCTGTTTGATATTGAAAGTTTCAACCCCCCTGCTAACAATACTTTTCTGTGTAGCTGTATATTGACATCCATGTATACTTGTGATCCATATATAATATCTATGTGTTCTGGGTATTTAACACATAATTGTTTATGCCATATAGTCCAGTGGAGTTTTGTTGAAAAAAAACATGATAGATCTAACAGAGCTTTTAAGAGCTATCTTTATAGAGCAAGCTGATATGGAAACCAGGGGCAAGAGTCTCTTGTATTATCTTCTCTACTTGTGTTCCTTTTGTTATTTCTTTCTTTTGTTGATGCTTTAGATCTATTCTTTATTTTATCCCTTTGCTACTCTTTCATAAATGTTTCAATGCTCTAGTTCATGGTTAACTGTTTGCTTGACTGTTGGTGCTGTTTAACTTTAGTAAGAATATAAAGAATGCAAGCAGAATACATGTTCTTAATGTGTTAAGGTTTCACTCGTTTCTCACCTTGTGGTTCTTCAAATTCTTGTTGGACTTGAGTATTTTTAATCATTAGGATTATTTGTATGTTTAAAAGGATGATTTAAGTACATTAGAAGTGCATTTGAATTCCAGTGCAAGACAGTTTATAAAAAAAAAATTAAGAGAGTATTTACTGATACTAATTTTTGGTCCAGAAATTTGGCAGCTCATGAATTCTGGTAATAAAGTTTACTGTATCTGTTCCTGTATAGATATGTGAACAAACAATTTCAGTAATGAAAGATCGCACAATGTTTCAGCTTTAATTTCTTTGAGGTATTCAAAGGAAAAAAGTCTTCATAGCATTAACATTACTTATATAATGAACTAAAAAGCCTGTGTGACCCTTGGTATACCTGTGTGACCCTTGGTATATCTGCTACATTATTTTTATCCTTGATATACACACTTATTACATTTCTGATTAGAAGTGCAATATAAAAGCTGTCTTACTTGTAACTCGATCCTCAAACTCCAATCATGTGAAAAATTCTGATACATATGCTTTTAGTCTTGAGCATTGTTATTAGTGTAATTTTTCACTTCATACCTCAGAAAGGCAGTAAAAACATATTTTAATTTTATGTTCACAAAAGATTGTCTAAATGGAAGAACATGTGCATTTTTTTTCTTTTATGTCAATTTATGAAGCACAGTTTTTCTTAATTATATTTTATTAATAATACTATATAGGTGAAGTATATATATAGTGTAATATGAATGAACTATGTAAATATGTGATTTTACTTTTTTAAGAAATATGTCCTAAAGATTTAATATTCATAGAAAATATAAATGATATTTGTTGTATGACAACAATTTTGTCTAATGTATGGACTTACCTCTTTATTTTGATATAAAATATTAAATGTTGTGGGACAACAGTTTCATCTTACAATGTATGAAATTACCTCTTATTTTCCGAGAAACTATTGATGACAAATGTTGTAGGACAACAGTAATATATAATAATACACACAATACCTCTTACTTTAATAGAAAATATGAATAATGAATGTTGTGGGACAACAGTATTATCTAATGATGCATGAACTCACCTCTCATTTTCATCACTTCAGATTGTGCGAGCAAAGGAAAGGATAGACTCAGAGATGGAAAATATTCAAGAAAGTAAAGTAAAAGAAGAAACAAAGAAGGGAAATGACACTTGAAATTTAAAATGTGTTTAAGGTTATATTTTTTATTTGGTAATTATAAGGTAAAAAAAATTATTGCAGGTAACTCGGCAATTAGTTTGAATGAAATGGCTCACAATTGTCTGCAGATGTTTCAAAAGCTAGAAATCATCATTAATTCCTTCTGATATATTGTTATTTACAGCCTTAATAAAAGGATTACTCATGTGTTGTATATTTTTTAGGTATATTTGTTGATATAGCCAATATATTAGATTGCTGATGGGCATCCTTCCATGTGAGAAATGTAATTAACAGCAGAATGTAAATAAATTAATTTTGTTACCAAACTACTCTTATTATTTTTACCTTACATAATCCTTTAATTTGTATTAAGAAGTAACATCTCTTTTCAAACTTGTTTTTAATAACGCATTATGGCATTTAAGAAAATGTGCCATTCCTACCTTTAACATATTAATATAATAATTTTGCAATACAGATATACATTTGTGGACACTGCCACAAAAGAAACATGCAAACATCTAGTTTGTTATTTTGCTCTTTTATTGCTTTAATATGTTCAGTATTAGATGAATTCACAAAAAAAGAAATAATTTGTCAGCAACCTCTGATCTATCCACAAATTACCCAGGTATTGAATTTTAAAACTTCTATGAGATAGACCCTGAAAGTAATATTTTAAGTTAACTGTCAATGTAACAACTTCGAATAGAAAATGAGGACAAGCACATACTTGAGTTATCACTACAGCAATCTTAAGCTTTATGTGTAAATTCATGATCTGTAGTTTGTCTGGATAAGTGATGTTTTTGGCACTAACAAATGCTAATTGGCTATGCCTGCCATATATCTATATTTAATGTTCATCAGAGAATAAAGCAACACATACGCTAACATAAACTATTCTATTCATACCAGGTGCTGGTTTTCATTTATCCAAATGTTCAGCCAACCACCGTCTTTTATTTATTTATTTAATTTTTGTACCTCATTTGTCTTGCCTACACTGCAACAGTAAATGTAATTACATTGATCTCTGGATCACATGATAGATCAATCAAAGTTTCTTGTTGAAAGCCATTGTAGAAAGCCATGTATACTTCAATACTTGACATGGCAAGTTTACTAAAGCAGAAACAATCTTTGCTTCTTTAAGATGTAAATAGTACAGAAAGTCCTTAATGCTGAATACGGAATATGCCATGGTTTCATTGAATGAGAAGAGGTACCTTCCCAGGGTGTGCTCGAGGGCTAAGTTAAATACATGCTATATTTCATGAACTGGTAAGTAGGTTATGAAAGGAAATGTGACTTTCAAATACATCTATTAATATTTTTATTCACTCTTTCATATACATACATCTGTTAATATTTTTATTCACTCTTTCATATGGGAATCAAAATCCCAAATAATATATTGCATTGTTTATTGTAGCTTAGTAATATACAAACATGCTATCACAGAATATTCAAATATAACACTATAATATATTAACACTATTATAAAGCACCTAATGGCTATTCAGAACTATACAGAATTTGTTCATAGAATACAGATACACTTACTCTCATGATTAAATGTAGGATATAATATTTTTTATAAAATGCTAGTTTTGAATGAAAAAGGGTCACTGACAGTTGTAAGGAAGTGATGTAAAAGTAATTTTTTCTTTCTTTGCAATGTCTGAGCAAGGAATCAATTGCACTGCATAAATCACAGTAGATATTAATTAATAGTTCCTAGAATACATTCACATTATGAATCTGTAAATGCTTTGTGAGATCAAATTAATATCTGCTTAAATATATAGCTACACGTCTCTGCACCCAGTGGTTGCCCCCTTTTGCTCCAGCAGGAAGAGTAATATTCAACACAGGCATCTGATTGGCACTACCACTAGGACCTCCTTCATTAAACGGACCATCAGTAGTACCTTGACCGAGCTGTAGAAAGCACATCAACTCCCTACTGCTGGCAGGTCTCCTCCCCCAGTTGCAGGTCGAGTGAAGTGGAATCCTTGATGTTTTGAAATTCGTCCGAGAAACGGGTCTGCTGCGCTTCCGTAGAAGGATGGTCACACCGAGAAGGTCGGTCTGCGTGGTGGTTCAGGTCCTTCTGCTGCTTCTCCAGGTCCCTCGCTCTCAGTTAGGGTTGTCGATGACTGTCGGTGAAGCGAGGGTTGAGA